GTGTTGTACATACCAGGCATGAAGAGCAATTTGCTCAGTATAGGGTTGTTGGTCGAAAAGAATTATAAAGTGTCAATCAAAGATAAGATGATGAGAGTCGTTGATGTAAATGGGAGATTAATCTTGAAGGCTCCTATGTCTCAGAATCGAACCTTCAAGATTGAACTAAATGTGATGGAGCACAAGTGCCTTTTGACTGCAGTTAGTAGAGATGAATGGATATGGCATTATAGACTAGGCCATCTCAACTTCAGAGACATCAGAGATTTGAAGAGAAGAAATATGGTTTCAGGATTTCTAGAAATTGACATTCCAAACGAGGTATGTGAGGAATGTGTGTAGGCGAAGCAACACAAGAATAGCTTCAGCAAGGATGCAAGAAGCAGGTCAAAGGCTAGTCTTGAAGTCATATACTCTGATGTATGTGGACCAATCCAGGTGGATTCGATGAGAGGTAACAAATACTTTGTTACATTCATAGATGATTTCAGTAGAAAGCTGTGGACTTATCTGATCAAGAAGAAAAGTGAAGTGATCGAAGTATTTGCCAAGTTTAAGTCTATGGTCGAAAGACAGAGTGGTCGAAAGCTCAAAGTTTTGAGAACTGGTGGTGGTGAAGAATATGTGTCGAAATACTTCGATAGGCTATGTGAAAAGGAAGGGATTGTGCATGAGGTGGTTCCACCCTATACTCCACAACAAAATGGAATTGCAAAAAGGAAGAATCGAACCATCATGAATATGGTGAGAAGTATGTTGAAAGGCAAGAATTTACCTAAAGAGTTTTGGGGTGAAGCTGTTTCGACTGCAACATACATTTTAAACAGATGTCTTACAAAGAAGCTAGAAGGAATTACTCCAGAAGAATGTTGGTCTGGTGTGAAGCCTAGCTTGAGTCATCTGAAGGTATTTGGATCTATTGCACATAGACATGTGCCAGATCAGTTGAGAAGAAAACTTGTTGACAAGTCAAGTCAAATGATTCTAGTTGGATATCATTCGACGGGAGGTTACAAGTTGTTCAATCCAGCAGGGGCGTGATCGTAGATGAGTTTAAAGAATGGGATTGGACTGAAAATGTCAAGAAAGATTCAGTGGGGATCCTACTCGAAGAGCCAGAAACTCAAGTCGAAAGAGAAGTTCCACAAGAGGAACCAACAGATATACCAAGTACAAGCAGGCCTTAAAGAATAAGACGCATGCCTGCAAGATTGCAAGATTGTGTGATTACATAAGATGATGTAATAGATAATGAAGGTGGGCTGGTAAATTATGCTTTCTATGCAGATGTCAAACCCGTTAATGCAGCTGAAGCGTTGAAGGATTCAAATTGGGTGAAAGCAATGAACGAAGAAGTGAAGTCTATCGAAGACAACAACACTTGGTCACTTGTCGAATTGCCTCAAGGAAAGAAGGCAATTGATGTCAAGTGGGTATACAAAGTGAAAACGAATTCGAAAGGGAAAGTAACTCGACACAAAGAAAGGCTTGTGGCGAAAGGATTTCTACAGAAAGAAGGAATAGACTTTGATAAAGTTTTTGCACCTGTTGCTAGGATCGAAACAATCAGGTTGGTTATTGGTCTAGCAGAAATAAACAGTTGGCACATATGTCAGATGGACGTGAAGTGTGCATTCCTAAATGGACCCTTAGACGAAGAAGTCTATGTTAAACAACCAGGTTGGTTTGTGAAACATGACGAAGAAAGAAAGGTGTACAGGCTGCATAAAGCCCTGTATGGATTGAAACAAGCTCCAAGAGCTTGGAATAAGAAAATTGATAGTTTTCTAAGGGAGAAAGAATTTGTGAAGTTCACAAATGAACATGGAGTATATGTAAGAAGAATCAAGAGTAAATTGCTTATACTATGTCTCTATGTAGATGATTTGTTGATAACAGGTAGCTGCAAGAGTGAGATTGAAGACTTCAAAGGTGATCTCAGCAAGGAATTCGAAATGTCTGATTTTGGTGAGATTTCATATTTCCTTGGTATCGAATTCTACAAGAGCAGTAGAGGTTTGATGATGCATCAAAGAAGATATGTAGGAGAAATCCTTAAGAGGTTTGAGATGGAAGAATGCAACTCAACTTCGACACCTGCAGAACCAAGACTGCAACTGTTGAAAGATGCAGATGAAGATGATGTTGATCCAATCCAATACAGAAGACTTATTAGATCATTGAGATACCTTTGTCATACAAGGCCTGACTTAGCATATAGTGTAGGTATGGTAAGTAGATTCATGCAGAAGCCAAAGGTATCACATCTAGCCGCAGTGAAGAGGATACTAAGATATCTCAAAGGAACTTTCGATTATGGAATTTTTTTCCTGCAGCTGATAAAAGAAAATAATTCAAGTTAGTGAGATACACTGATTCGAGTTGGTGTAGTGATGCTGAAGATCGAAAGTCAACAGCAGGATATGTGTTTATGCTAGGTGGTGCACCAGTTGCTTGGAATTCAAGAAAGGAACCAGTAGTAGCATTATCATCATGCGAAGCAGAATACATAATTGTTTCTCTTTGTGCATGTCAAGCAACTTGGATGGTAAACTTGGTCGAAGAGATGATAGGGAAAGATCATGGAGCAATTACCATGAAGATCGACAGCATGTCAGCTATCAATCTGGCGAAGAACCCAATAGCACATGGTCAAAGTAAGCACATCGAAATGAGGTTCCATTATCTTCGAGAGCAGGTAGCAGATGGGAAGATGAATTTGGAACACTGCAGAACTGAGAATCAGATTGCAGACATCATGACGAAGAGAGTGCAAGTTGAAGTATTCAGAAGGCTAAGAACCATGATGAACATAGACAATTTAGACACAATGAATTAGGTGGTGTGTTAAATTGTAATTCAGTGTGTCGAAACTATGTGTCGAAAAGATTTGATTTGTTTTAGATTTGATTTAAGTCTAGAATAGATTTGATTTGATTTAGTAACAAAATAGATATTTTGGGCTTTGGGCTTAGGGTGTAAGCTCAGTTATAAATAGAGAGAGTAACCCCTATTTTTTGTAAGCAAGTCAAGTAAGTCATTCATAGTATTTTGCAGTTGCAAAGTGAATAATAACGTTTTCACAGTTTGTGAGCAGAGAGAAACTCTGCAGAAATTATTTGTCTTGTCTTCTTTTTCTTTGTTTGTCTCATAATTAAATTGTCATTGTGGTAGAAATTCATCATAGAATTTGGTGGATTTCCAACAAGAACAACCCCTTTAGTTTTGTTGTAACAAATTAATAGGAAAGGGTCTACAAGTTGAGAAAACGGCTATATGGTTTGAAACAGGATATTAGAGCTTGGAATAAATGAATAGATGATTTTCTAGTTGATGTTGACTTCAAGAATTGTGTATCTGAACATGGTGTTTATGTGAAAACATATGCAAGTAAAAATGTGATCATACATTGTCGATATGTGGAAGATTTGTTGATCACGGGTAGCAATGAGATGAGTATTTCTAAGTTCAAAAGTGAACTTATAAAAGAATTCGAAATGAGTGACCTTGAAATTATGACATACTTCCTTGACATAGAGTTCCACAATTCAAAAAAGGGGTTGCTTACGCATCAAAGAAGATATGCCCTTGAGATATTGAAGAGGTGTGATATAGAGCATTGTAATATTGTCATTGTCCAAAAGTGAAGAAGATCAGAATGTAGATCCTACTCAATATAGGAGATTAATTGGATCATTACGTTACTTGTGTAATACAAAGCCATATTTATCATTTAGTGTTAGTATTGCAAGTAGACTCATGGAGAGGCTGAAGGTGTCTCACTTGGCAGCGGTCAAGAGGATCCTAAGATACGTCAAAGGGTTTATTGACTGCAGAATTCTCTTTTATGCAGTAGATACGGGCAGAAAATGCAATTTTCTCGGTTTTACCGATTCCAATTGGTGCGGAGATAAAGATGGTCGTAAGTCTACATTTGGTTACATCTTTATGTTCGGAGGAGCATTAATCTCATGGTATTCTAAAAAGGAACCGGTAGTTGAACTCTCGTCTTGTGAGGCCAAGTATATTGTCGTTTTTTATGTGTGTCAAGCCATTTGACTAATGAATATGTTGGAAGAGTTGGACATCAATGAGGGTGAGGTTGTCACACTCTTGGCTGATAATATTTAAGTCATTAACCTTGCTAAGAACTCAATTTCTCATGGAAGGAGAAAACATATTGAGATGATGTTTCATTACATGAGAGAGCTTGTTAGCGAAGGCAAGTTAAGATTGAGATATTGTAGAAAAGTTGTTAAATAGTTGACTAAGGGAGTCACAAATAATGTGTTCGAGAGGTTGAAGATGAGCATGGGCATGGAAGGCTTGGATCACTTGAATTAAAGGGGTGTGTTAGTTGTAAAAACACTAATTCGAGTGATGTAATAGGTTACATAAGCAAATAAGCACTTATAAAAAGCTGAAAGTTGCTGCGTCGAGGTGTGTAACAGACTACGCATTCGTATTAACAGGTTACATGTCTGTTATTTTCTGTTTTCTGCAACAGTGGTAAGATGTTATGGAAATGTGGTAACCGGTTACCAACTCGTGTTTTTCAGTTTTTAAGTGTTTTATTTTATTGTTTTGGTTCCCAATCATTGTAACTTACTTGTATAAATATCTTTTGTGATATAACATCTTAATTAATGAAAATTCTACTTCTCACTCTCAATTACTCTCTCACTCTAATTCTCTTCTTTTCTCACTTCATCTTCTCCACAAAGACAAAAATATCCACTAATTCACCAATTAATTTACTATATTCTAACAATAACAAGTTCAAAATTTATTGATCGGGAAAATTTCAAAAATTGAAGACTATTTTATCATATTTAAAAATGGGAGGATCAGAATCTTGAATCAACAAAAGTAGATAATTAAAAGCGAATTTAAGCAAAAGTTTTTATGGAGGGATAATTTTTTGTACCGATCAATGAGATGATCAAATTTATTTCAATAACAAATAATATTAACCAAAGCATATAAGCACTTAATTAATTTTAATCAAAGTGAAAGTCAATGTCCCCAAACTCCATTCCCAGACTTTGAAACACCAACACAGCATCTGCAATATCATCAGAATCCATTAATTCTTGCTTTTGTTTATCTGTAACATTACTTGCAGTATTCTCTTCAAAAGGATCTTCTTGCTTTATAATTATGCTTGGTGTAGGTGAAGTAATGTGGTGGTTAACCTGTTCACTTTCATCAGGAATGATGTTGCATGTATGAATGCCAATGTATGTAATTTGATACATATCAGGTTTGTCTTGTGTTTTTTGCACCTGTTTGATTGCTAAACAACCTTGATCATACTTAAATGCGCACCTGAAGTAACTCCTGTAATGCATTAATATTAATTAATACAAGGTGACTTATTAAATCATCAATTCATCCAACCAAAGTTAATATATATATATATATATATATATATATATATATATATAATAACAATGAACACCTGGGGTATTCAGAGTTCATGATTCCCTTCTGTCCATACTTTCTCCATGAATGATTATCAACAATGGTTTCGGAAACTATGCTCCATGTCTCACCACACTTCCTACATGTGTGAAACAACTGGATTTTAGAATGTAATTGTAATCATCATTCTTGAAACATACAAAACCTAACTCACCAGAATAGCACGTTAAGGAGTTTTAGAAGATTGATGCAAAAATAATGTAGAATTAAATTTCTCACTAATATTTCTAATAACAAATTACTATTCTCTACATCTCAAATAAATTATTGTAATGCAATATTTATTATTAATTTTTTTATTAATGTATTCTTATTTATTACATTTTAGTTTATTTAACTATTCGATTAATTATAACTAATAAAAATATTTTATTAAATAAAATGAATTATTATTTTTAAAATTAATTATTATTTATTTATAAATCTCAATTCAATTGATAAAAATCGATATTATAAAATTGGAACCCAATATCAACTTCGAACTTTGATACTCTATTACGTTTTGAACTTTTAATGATTATTAGTACTTAATCTACATATCAATTTTTTTAAAATTATTCTCTTATAAAGTAGTGTATTAAATTTAAAAAGAATAACTACTTTGTGACAGAAAGAGTGAGTGTAATTATTGAGTTCAAAAAACACATAATTAAAATCTTTTTCATGAATATAGTGATCATAATAAACTACTATTTGTGGGAGACTAGATCAAGAGTCATTATGAATTTGTGACTCTTGTTAAAGATTAAACATTCTCAATTGTTTTAAGGATTTAGGTAAGTGGCTTAGGGAATTGAAAGAAACACAAATTATGGCTACTTTCATGCTTCTCTAAAAAGTAGAGGTAGACGGAATAATATCATAACCTTAAAGGTTGGAGAAAGTTGGATTGAAGGGGTGTTTGGATTAAGTATGAGGTTATTAAGTATTTCACGTATTTTTTTATATATATTTAGAGAATCAAATGTTTTTAGACCTCATCTTAATGATGTTGGCTTCCACTCTTTCATATGATGATAACCTTGTTTTGATGACCCCCTTTAGTGTCCGGAAGGTAGACTGTCTTGTGTCCCATTGTGATGATAACAAAAGTTTAGGTTAAAATTAGTTAAACTTCTCCTTTCTGAAATGATTTTGGAATTTCGTTAAAGATGATTTGGGGATCATATTTGATCATTTTTCACTATTTTGCATCTCTACCTCGTAGTTTCACATCCTACTTTGTGACTTTGATACTCAATGATAAATCTTCCTATCATTTTTGTGAATTTAGCCAATATCTTGTTAGAACAAGATTTGGTTATGCAATTTTATCTCTGAGTTGTGATGATAACAAATGAGTATGTTTGTAAGAATAATTTTGGTTCTATAATATTTGTTATTTTTAAGATTTAACAAACGGGTTCTGCTTCTGATAAACGGTGCTGCCAAGACATTAGAAGAGAACAAGTTCCGCTTCTGACAACACAAGTTCCGATGAACAGTAGCAAAACACTTCAGAAGGCTCTGAAGTAGTGACTCTGATACACGGTCAAGAAACCATGTTCTGAAGATCTGAAGACAGAAGTTTTGATGAACAAAGTCCATATGCTGAAGACGTGTGTTTTTGAAGACAAGGGGTTCTCAAGACCAAGTGCTGAAGATTCTGAAGACGAAAGTTATGAAGACTCTGAAGATTTGAAGTTCTGAAGACCCAAGTGTTATTCTCATTCTTCCAACGCATGCTTGATTAGAAGCCTTTGGCGTCAGAAGAAAAATGGATAAGGTTGCGTGGTATAAAAGTACATGGTACAAACAAATTATTTCATTCCACTACCATGAAGGACGAACGTTGCGTGCGATCTTATCCCCATGTAATTCAAGCTGCCAACTTTCTAGAAATTCCAAAAATACCCTCCAACTTATAATATTTTATTGGCTATAAAAGGACTTGAAGACTAAGAGAGAAGACTACTAATTCACATTCTTAAAAGAATGTCTATACGCTTTCTTATTTCTATATTCTTGAAAATCTTACTTATTCGCTTGTGTAGAAGCATATCTTTTGTAAACAAACAGTGTTCAAATAGTTGTTTGATAGTTGTTTGATTTGCCTTAATGGACCAGTTGGTCAGAACCCTTGAGAAGTCTAAGATTAGTGTGTCTTAGAGATTGTAACGTTAGTCACTTGCAGTTAGCTTGTGCATTTAAATAATCTGTGTGATTATTGGATTAAGATCTTGTTGAGAAAGACGAAATCACCTTGGCGAGTGGACTAGACTAACTTGATAGTTTTCAAGTGAACTAGTATACACATTCTTGTTCTTTTCTTGTTGAATCTTATCACTATTATCAATAAGTAGAGTAACTTGTTTCTGATTAAAGGGGATTTTAAAAAGGAAAAGTTTTTTATTTAAAACTCAATTCACCCCTCCCCCCCTCCCCCATTTTCTTGTGTTTTTCACACCTTCGTTTGGCATCAGAGCTCCGGTTCTGAGGAGTGATAAAAAGTTTAAATTTTTATCAAGCATCTAACAGTGTTCAGTATCGATCCAGATTGTGTGAAAAACAATGGCAACCAATGGTAACAATGCTACTGTAAATGTTGATAATAAGGATAACGATAGAGGCCATTATAGTGCTAAACCTCCTATGTTTGATGGAGAAAAGTTTAACTCTTGGAATAACTTGGATCTATGGTATTTGGTAGTTGATTGCTACACTCATTCAGTAGATGATAAAGGTCTAAAGATTGCAAGAAGTACAATGAAAAATGCTCAGAAGAATGTTCACATAAATCACTACAAAGCGAGAACAATTCTTTTAAGTGATATTTCTTACAATGAGTATAAGAAGATCACAGATAGAGAGACTACAAAGTCTATTTTTTATTCTCTTCATATGACTCATGAAGGAAACACTCAAGTTAAGGAGACAAAGGCTTTGGCCCTAATCCAGAAATATGAAGCCTTAAGAATGAAAGATGATAAATATGTGGAAACTATGTTTTCAAGATTTCAGACTCTTGTTGCATGACTCAAGATTCTGAACAAAGGATATTCTACTGCAGATCATGTTAATAAAATTATCAGAAGTCTGCCTAAGAATGCCTTGAAGTTGTCAAAGGATCTGAACAATATCGGTCTTGAGGAGTTGATTAGTTCTTTAAGAAGTTATGATATAGAGCTTAAAGAAGATGAACCTCAGAAAAGAGCTAAATTTGTGGCTCTAAAGTTTAAGTCTGGAAAGACAAAGGCTTTTCAAGCTGAAGAAGATTCAGATGAGGGTGAAATTTCTATGATATCCAGAAGGATAAGCCAAATATGGAAACACAAACATAACAAGTTCAGAGTACCAAGAAAAACAAATGGTAGATTTGATTCTACATCTGGTCATAAGAAAGCTTCTGGGAAAGAAGTCACGTCTTATGAGTGCAAAGAGCCTGGACATTACAAGAATGAATACCCAAATCTCAGAAAAGACAAGAAGCCCAAGAAGGTCTTCAAAGCCAAGAAGGGTCTCATGGAAACATGGGGTGATTCAGAATCAGAAGAGGAAGAATCTGATGAAGAACATGCTAACGTGGCACTCATGGCCAATACAAGCACTGATAAAGTTATCTCAGAGTGTGAGCTGACAGCTGATGAAGAGTCGGACTCTGACAATGAAGCAGAGATAATGGCTTCTCTTTATCATTTTAAACTTGAAACTTGTTTGTCTGAAATGATGAGAAAATATCAACTTCTTCTAAGTAAACACAAACTCTGGAAAAAATTTGTAGTTACTTTTAAGAACTCTACTAAGAATAAGCAAAACTTTTCTCATTTAATGAAAAATTATTTGTTTTAGAAATATAAAATCTTGCTCTTAAAAGTAAAGTCTCAAGGTTAGAAGAAGATATTATCTCTATCATATATGTTACTGATGAAGTAATCATATGTGATAGAGCTTTTCAGCACTTCCTAGCTAAAAGCATAGACAGAAGCAAGATGGCTTCAATGATCTATGGCGCTGGCAGAAACGGAAGTAGAGGCTTGGGATATTCAGGACCATCAAAAATAATTGATGAGACTCTGAGTGTCAAACCAAAACCTCTTTCTGAACATTTTGTACTTGTTGGCACTGAACTAAAATGTCCAAAACAAGAAGGTTCTGATTCCATTGAAACACAACCACATACACAGAAGGAAACTTCTAAGCCTAAATATCATGCACAAGTTCCACTTGATTATCCTGCTGCACAAGATTCCAAAGGTGTCACAACCTCTGGAACTGCTAATAAGAAAGGATCCATAAAGTGGGTACCTAAGGATGAGATAATATATGTTGTAGATATCCTTGATGGCGCCACTAAAACACCAGTCATAGTATCTGGACAGTGGATGCCCGCGACACATGACGCGTGAAAGGCATATGTTCCAAGATTTGGAACTTAAGTTTGGAGGAGTTCTTGGCTTGAGAGGCAACCAGAAGGGAAAGATCATTGGCTTTGGTACTGTTGGTAATGCTTGCAGATGTGAAGATAACGTTCTCAGAACCTAAGGAGAAGATACTAGAAGATAAATAATTAGAAGCTCCTACTTTTGATATTGTTGTTGTTCTTTCTGATCATCCACAACAAAGGAAAAGTAGAATCTCATCTTCTCATCCTGAAGATTTAATTCTAGGAAACAAAGATGCTCCTGTCAGAACCAGATTAGCGTTCAAACCTTCTGATGAAGTGCTTATGGGTTTGGTGTCTCTGGTTGAGCCAATATCTATTGATGAAACTCTTCTAGACAATGGATTATGTCTATGGAAGAATAACTGAACCAATTCTCAAAGAACGATGTATGGGATCTTGTTCAGAAACCTAAATGTGTCCACGTTATTGGAACCAGATGGGTGTTCAGAAACAAGCTCAATGAGAAGGGTGAAGTTGTTATAAACAAAGCACAACTGGTTGCACAAGGTTATAGTCAGCAAGAAGGGATGGACTATACAGAAACCTTTGCACTAGTCGCCAGGTTAGAAGCTCTACATTTATTAATTTATTTTTTTCTAAAGCATAACACCATCCTTTATCAGATGGATGTTAACAGTTCATTTCTGAATGGTTAT